ATAAAAGTAGAGTTCTGATATATGTTATCTGGAATTACAGTATTAATGTTCATTTAATGTGTACAATTTTGATTTTGCTGATTTTTTTTAAAGTATCTATTTTTTAAGGTTTGAAAAACCTCAGCAAGTCCGAAGAAAATTTACAAATTCCGAGCCATCATGCTGCAGCCAACTATCGAATGTCTTGGATTGGTCCTGCAAACAAAGACTCTCAGGAGACCAGAATTTCATTAATGGGATGTCCTGAAACAGAGGTCTCTTCTTCTGAAACTGCTTCTGCCAATAGAAAGCCGTTAGTTATTCCTACTGAGCCCATGTTCAAAAGTAGTGAGTGTGATAGCAGTAAACAAAAAACATCTTTTTGTGAGGATGAAAATAATTTAACTGAACACATGCTACTGAGAATTAAGAAAGCGTTTTCTGAATCTGGAAGCAACCTTCATGATTTATATGAAACGGAGCCTTCAGCATCAAATTTATTAAAATTCAAGAACCCAGAACTAAAATTAAAGAACAATTCCTCTAAAACAAGAGATAAGAAAGTAGATGTTAAGGGGGAACCTCAGTTTGCAAAATCAGTCACTAAATCGAATACCATTGATCAGGTCAACGCTATTAATGGACTTCTCTTCCAAAATAATAAGAGTGATCATCCAATCCATATTTTAAACCAAAGTGATGGATTAGAAGTAGACCAGTTGATTACATCTCATGTTATTCAATTAAATAATGTAAATAATGTACAGAAAGAGATAGTGGAATCAAGTAAGCAATATATCTGTGCAAAAAAAGCATCTAAATACTGCAATTCAAAGAAAGAAACCTCTTTCTCAGAAGTTGGAGATAAAAATGAAACCTATGACAAATCTAAATCTTCCCCTTCAGGAAAAGTGTCTGATCATATACATTGGTTCAACAAACTTTCATTAAATGAACCACATTCTGCAACAAGAAGTAAGCCGGTGCTTAAATTTCAACGTACCCCAGTCCGTCAATCTGTAAGGAGAATAAATTCCCTCTTGGAAACTCATTCAAGTAACTCGTCAGCTACTTGTAAAAAAGCTGGTGATGGCTGCAGTTCTCTTGCTAAATCAGTGAGTTATGAAACTGCATTGTCTTCCTATGCAGTAAGTACAAACAATTCACTGACAAATTCACTACCTTCTAAACTGACATGCAAAGAAAAGCATGATCAGTTGGGTCTATTTCCCAAATCCTCTCTTCAGTTGATACATTCATCAGAGCAAACCATGAAAGAAACATTTAATAATTCCAAATTTGTCCTTGAGGACTTAACTAACTACAAAGCCCCAAAAACTATTGTGAAAACAAGCACATACTTAAATGCTTCAGTGGGTACACCTGATAAATATGTTCTCAGGAAAATGACAGGAACAAAATCTCGGTATAGAGGATCACCAAAAAACCCAATCCCCACAGCAAAACTTCTTCCAATTGTCAAGCCTCTAGACTTATAGTGGTTTGATCCTAGGCATATTTCTTCTATCTAAGCTTGTAAATGTAGAACTGAAAGTGTTGGATCCAGAATTGGTTTCCTATGGAAGAAGACCTTATTCACAGACAGATCTCATTGGCGGAAGCTGTTGGTGTCATTTTCCCTTCCCCTGAAGTCACTTATGCTTCCTCAGATCTGCACAGGAATGAGGAATTTTCCAGAACAGTAAAGCAAATGCTGCTATGTTGTGCAGTGGGAAAAAGAACATTTTAGGTGGAACTCAAGTCAGACAATATTCCTGCTGGCAAAAAAGCTTAATTCAACATTTATCTTTCTTTAAATTGTCTTAAGTATATTTCTTTTTGAACTTATTTGGGACTGAAACTTGAAGTTTTGTTGAGTGAATGAAGCTTGAATAAGTTCTGCTGAGTAGCATTTATTACAGGAGTCCTAATTTTGGTACTTGTTTTTATGTATTACCAAATTTTATGGATGAGAACCTGGAAGAGCTTTTAACTAACTTAACTCAGTGATAAACAGTTAAAGGATTGGTTTCTAGAAAACAAAAAGCTTAATACTACATTTGCAAAATACTTAATTTAGGGATTAAGTTTCAAAAATGTGCCATGCTTTTTTGTAATATTCGGTTATCTAAAAGGCTTGTATTTTTAAATTTTATTTCTGGGAGTAGTAATTTAGGCCCTCTATGACAACAGCAACTGTACTTTATCCATACTTTGAACAGATGCACTTTTTTGTAGACTCAAACAAATGGTGACTCACTGAAATGTTAGGTACATGTATCAAATCATCACATGTTCTACAATTGGAGTGGAGATGGATTGAGAATTCTAACACAGCAAATGGAAGAATGTTCCAGAGCTGCTGAATGGATGTTATTGTTTTATGTTCTATACTGGGAGAGCGGGGCTATATGGTAATGAAAGAACTTGCTAGTTCTTTTTTTATGACTGTACTATAATATAGGATATTGTATAATTCATAAAAAGTGTTATGTGATTGAGATACATTGTATAAAGCCATACTGTTTAGATGCACAGCATTTACATCAAGTTGCCCAATTGAAATGATTCATAATTGTTGTCTATTATATGTAAATTATTTAAATTTGAAATAGAGTTTTAGTATAGTTTGGGGAGAAGAATGCTAAAAACTCTTACCTCTGAAATAAAAAGCTTATTTTTTTTTCTATAATGTATATGCCAAGTTGTAGCAACTTTGAAAGCACTATAATGATGTGGGAAAATACCAGAACAAAGCTGAATACCATACATGCAAGTACCCG